ATGGAGTATCAAATTCCATTTTTTTCCTGGAAAATCAAGAGCAGTCTTTTTTCTTGTTGGAATGAAAGACTAAGGAAAATGTAAAATAGAAATAAACCTTGCAGGAAGAAGGGAATCAGAAAAATGAAAAAAAAAAAAAAAAAAACAATGATGAATACATAGTGGGGGGGGGGGGGGACTGGGAAGTTAGAAGATAAAAGGAGGTTACCTTTATCACTATACCAAATGTCATCCAAGGCAATGGTGGTGGGGTGGAAAATGTCAGGCACAACTCTATTATCTCTTTTCTACAACTGAGTTCAATAAAATTTTTTAAAAAAAGAGAGAACAGTGTTTGAAAAACACCCTTGTAACCTTTTATCCTATCAAAGGTGCTGGTCTTCATTATGACTAGCTCTGAACCAGTCATTGATTTGTTCCTTAAATCATTTTACAGTTTACAGTTTCATTAATGTTTAAGTATATTGGTGTATGAGTATACGAGAGAGAGAGAGAAGCATATAAGAAACAAAAGAAAAAAAATAAGATGGGGTTTTGTTTCTTTGTTTGTTTGTTCATATGTTGGTTTGGGAAATGGTGATGCCACAAGGAGCAAAGCTGGGGGCCACTGTCTTTTTTTTAGTTATTTGTTTTGGAAGAGAAAAGAAAAGAAAGAGAGGGAAAAAGAAAAAAGAAAGGCTGCCAAAGAATATGGAAAATGGAAATCAAGGTCGTCCCACTTTTTTTTCGTCCTGTCACAATCCACCTCCCTTTTCCCCGCAATTCCCTCTCCTCTTTTGCCTTGCTTGCTAGCTAGCTCTCCGTGCCGTTATTCCTCCTCCCTGAAATCCCCCGTTTCCTGTTTCAAATGTGAGTAGTATGTTTCTGCAATAGCTTACAAAAGTATTGTTTTTTTTTTCTGTTGGTTTTAGTGGTTGGTTGGACAAAGATATAGAGACAGAGAGGAAACGTGTGAGAGCAAGAAAAAGGCATGGCAAACTGGAAAAGCATACAATGAAAATCTGTCCTTTCTTTTATAATCCATCTGTATTGGCCTAGCGGTTTCCCTCCAGCTGACAACCCAACCCAAGACCCCAAAAAAACCACATACCACTCCTGTATGAATTTAAATATAATATATTTACTCTTTACAAGGATTGAAGTAGTAGTACATTTGTTTTTGGTTTTTGATTTTATTTTTGTTTTGTTTGTGTTTTTTTGGTTTTTGGAGTAGTACTGTCACTGTCTCTGCATTGTCAGGATGTCCCATCAGACGTCTCTCCTTGCCCATGTTGGCTGTTTCTGGGGATCACATGCTCTTCTCTTTTGCATAAAACTTTAACCCTAATCTCTCTCTTTTTCTTTGTTATTACTATTAGTATTATCAGTCTTCTTCTTGCTGTTCTTTTTAATTATATTGGAAATTGATATTTGCTTTTATCAGGAACACAGTATATATATTGAGACAATACTGAACAACTGATGCTCACTTTAGACCTCGCAAAGTCGGATTTCCTGCAGTGTTTTTGCTGCATTGTGTAATTCAGAGCGTAAAATCTGCTGAAAAAGGGTTTTGGATGAATCATGTTTTGAAGATATTATAAACACATCAGATTCTCTTACAATTCAACTTTCCGGAACCAATGTTGCAGACATGGAAGTAAAAATCATTACTTATTATGATCACTCCAAATGGTTGGCACAGCTGTTTGATTAAGAATCATGAAATTCCAGCCTTTGACTAAACTATAACTATCCACCCCTTTACTTCCAAGGTTATCTTTCAATTACTAGTCTTAAAGAGAGAAGTACTGTTACAAAGAATCAACATAGTTATCACTTTAATAACAAAAAAAAAAAAAAAAACAGGGAAGAAATGGAATGCTTCACAGTTGACAGCCTAATTTACCAATAATTTTCGAGGATTTTTGCTGAATGCTGATTATGAAGTGAATTGTTATTAAAAAATATTGATTCATGATGTATTTATTAAACTTTTGTACTTGAAATTGTAAAAAAAAAAAAATTAATCATTAAAATTAAGAATAAGATATGTTATTAACAATAAATCACTAATTATTTTTCATTTATTTTTATTGAAAACTTAATTAATTTGTAGAACTCAAAATCATCAACATTTTTAATTGATAATATTATTGATAATTCATTCTTAAATAAAATGGAAATGTATAAATAAAGTTTAGAAATTACCTAAAAAAATCAAAGGTAGGTTAATGAGTTGGAGATAAAGTGATAAGAAATGAACAGTAAGGAGCACAGGTTAGGATTAAGAGATAACAAAGAGCTGATGTCAACGCTTCAAATTCCATTTCCCAATTTATGCTTCTAACATAAAATTTTGGGATGGTATTATGAAACGACAACTGACAGTCAATGAAGTGACGATTATCTTTAACACTGCCTTCAATCCACATTTTTACTAACTTCTTAAGTACTCTCTTTTATTAATAATAATTCTTTTTGGGCAGACATATTAATATGAAGAAAAATTGTTAACCGTTGGGTTAGGCTTTGTTCATCCAAGAGCAAGGGGAAGCCAACATGGTCCCTTCATATGTCAATTATCTTCGCATTGGTCAAAACTGCGAAAGAAAGGAAAAGAAATGTTGGGGAGCAGCAAGTGTCACGCCCACCGTTTAAAAATAAGAGATAGGATGTATTAATTTTACATCAAATAAAAAAAATCATTAAAAATGATATTATAAATCTTAATAAGTTGATTTTATAAAAAATAATTAATCATATAATAAGTGATATCAAAATTAATTTTTAATTCATCCAATTTTATATAGATCATCTTAGCAAAGATAGATAAGATAAGTTAATCTATCTACTTAATAAGATGTCACATCTAACGTTTAAAAATAAGAGATTCGATGTATTAATTTTACATCAAAGAAAAAAATCATTAGAAATGATGTTATGCATTTTAATAAGTTGATTTTATAAAAAATAATTAATCATATAATAAGTGATATCAAAATTAAATTTTAGTTCATCCGATTTTATATCAATCGTCTTAGTAAAGGTAGATAAAATAAGTTAATCTATCTACTTAATAAGATGTCACAATAAGACATGGTAATAAAATTTTGACCATATCATATACTCTTAAAAAAAAAAATCAAGATGATAATTATGATAAAAACATCATCCTATGTGTTTAAATAAAACAAAATACATTAATTTTATGTAAATATTGATATGCACGTTCCAATAAAGACGTGACATAAGACTTTTGCAAGGTTGGGCTTCCTTCAAATTGTTTTTCTACTACAATTATTAGGACCATAATTTTTATTTTTTTCTGATTTTGATGTGATTAGACTGCCCATCACTGTTATGCAGAATTTATGATAGTATAAGGACGAGATTTATTGAGTGATGAGAGAGTCTCTTCTTTTTCTTGGACCCCTCAAAACTCAGAAAAATTTTGGATTTTAATGTTTTTAGAAGAGTTGATTTTTTTTGTTCACAAATTAATTGATGTACATGCCTCCAATTACGACAAAATGTTACATGAAATTAATTAATTAATTAAGAGATATAGTGATAAATAGAGCTTTTTTTGTCCATCTCATTGTGGAAGGTGTCTCTTAGTGGCTCAAATATTTCTAGCTTTTTTATGAGGATTTAATTCTTAGTACACACCAAATTCAAACAACATATAAAAAATTCCTTACCATATTCATGTGGCTAATGCATGCTTTTTTATATCAAATTCATATTTGACCAAGTTATTCAATTTTGTCATGCTTTTTTACAAATACTTTGGTCTTTTTTTTTTTTACTTCGAATAGTATAATTCAAATTTAATCGAATATTTTTAAATATAAATTTGAAGTAAACTAAATTAATTATTGGCGTCAAAACAATCTCTAATTTGAATTTAAAATTTAATTCAATTAATTTATATAATTATTTTTAAATAATAATATTTAATTAATTTACATTTTAAATCTCAACATCCATAATTATTTATTCAATTCTTAGATTGCGAGTCATAATTCTAAATTTAGGCATAGCTTAGCGGGCAATTTTAATCAAGAAAATTTTGACTAAAACTATATATTAAAACCAATTGCTTGGCAAAACAATGACTACAATTACCTTTTAATGTTTTGAAAATTAAAATTTTAATTTGGGAGCGAAAAAATTGATGAAAGAAAGAAACGAAGACAAGAAAAAAAGAACATACCTCTCCCAAAGTCCCAAGTTCCAAATTACTAATATGTTTCGCATAAATTTTGAGATGTGATGGCCCCTTCAGAAAAGACTCTGCCCATCCCATTGTCACTTCCGGCCTATCTTTGCTATGTGTATGGTTTGGTAAGGAAAAAGACCGTTCACCTCCAAACGCCACCGCAGGTCTTGTGAGTTTCTATGCACGTGGCGACCACGCGAATCGCAGGTGAGTATTAATAACCCCCAGGCCCCTCTTCATTTTCCCTTATCTATCCTTAATTTTCTCCCTCTCTTACAGATCACTGCGAACTTTAATTGCATGTTGACGCCAAGCGCGCGTCACCTATGTCGGAAACTTTGGCGCACGTAAGACCTTGTCCTAATCTTTGCTTAATGCCGACAATTTATTGCTTCCACAAGTAATTCCGTGTCCCCATCTTCTCCTGCTCCCCACCCCCAAACTGCTCTCCCTCATTACTGTCATATTACGCGCCACCTCACGCGCCACCTGCCACACTTGTAGGTCCCACTTTCCCTTAAATTGATGCCTGCGAGTACAACACCATCTGAAAGGGTCCCACCCCTCCCCCCCCCCAAAAAAAAAAAAAAACAAATGTTAGCTTCAGTGTCGGGTGAACCGCGTGGTTGGCGCGTGATGCGTTGGATTCCTTTCTTTTGTCCGCTCTGCAGACTGTACCCAACAGTGGACAACCCCAATACCCTGCTATCTTACTGTACCCACTCTGTTTTATTTCGTTTTCACCCTACAGTTAAAAAAAAAGTTAAAAACCAACCGAATTATTTTACAAAGCAGTGAAAATCAAGAGCCAACGAAGGAAAGAAGCAGCTATTAAGAGAGTTGATTTCAAGGAACGGGAAAGTATATCAAGAAGGACCCTGTGAAACAAAAAACAGCTTCTTTTGCAGATAGAAAGAGAGAAAAAAAGAGGGAAAACCCCCCCAAAAAAAGAAAATTATGGTCACACTCTCTTGCTGCTCTTATCTTCTTTTTCCTCTCTATTAGAAAAGGGTTTAAAATTTTTATTCAAAATCTGTTATTGGTGGGAAGAAATGGAGTTTGAGGATCAAGAGGAACAAGAAGAAGAGATGGGTTTGGCACCAAGTTATGACTCGCTGGCAAACTCATCTGGAGTCAAAATGTCAGGTGTTGAACCGGGTTCAATAACTCCAACCGGTCAGCAGCAACAGCAGCAGAGGAAGCCAAGGTATAGAGAGTGTTTGAAGAACCACGCCGTGGGAATCGGTGGTCAAGCTGTCGACGGTTGCGGTGAGTTCATGCCGGCTGGAACTGAAGGTACCCTCGACGCTCTCAAATGCGCAGCTTGTAACTGCCACCGTAACTTCCACCGTAAGGAAACGGAACAGGGTTCTCCGAACTCCATCCCCACGACGGACCTCTACTTTCACCACCACCAGCCTCCGCAATTCACACCTTACTTCAGAGCGCCGGCAGGGTACCTCCACTTGGCAGGACAGCAAAGGCCATTAGCTTTACCGTCGACGTCAGGAGGTGGAGGAGGACACAGCAGGGAAGATCAAGAGGATGTTTCGAATCAAGGGAGTTCAAGGAAGAGGTTTAGAACAAAGTTTACGCAGGAACAAAAGGAGAAGATGTTGGAGTTGGCTGAGAGGTTAGGGTGGCGGATTCAGAAACATGATGAAACGGTTGTTCAACAGTTCTGCTACGAAAATGGGGTTAAAAGGCATGTCTTGAAAGTTTGGATGCATAATAACAAGCATACTCTTGGTAAGAAACCCTAGAAACAGCTTCTACATGTTTTTGAGAGAGGGCAAAAGAGCTAAAAAAAAGTTGGCTTGCTAAGTTCAAATGTCGAGGTTTTCATTAGATTTTTTAGGGTTACTTTGGGGGTAAGCAGTTGGTACTTTGGTAGTGATTATGATGTTGGGGATGGATTATTATTAATAGCATTATTAAGTTGGGTTTTACATTAGATTATCACTCAATGTTAATGGGTACTTAATTTTAATTTTAGTTCGAATATATTTTCTTTTTGTTGCATTTCAAAGCTCTCTTTTAATGTGAAAATGGGTTTGGATATTTGTGCATTGAGGCAAAATGGAGACATGCAATGCAATGCAATGCAAATGGCCTGAAAATGGAAGAGCTCTAACTGGGTTTTGGGCAATGGGGGTTTGAGCTTTCACGAGTAAGAACTTTTTGTGTTAACTGAGACAAAACAAGCTCGAAGGGTCAAGGATGATTTTCCTTTGGAGACATAAACATTTGCTATAAGCTTAGTTAATTTCGTTTACGTGAGTCTTTCTGAGTTTACGAGTGAAGAAATCCTCAGCTGCACTGACATTGTTATATGTGCTTGAGAAATTGATAAAAAGGAAGGGAAGAGAGGGAGAGGGAGGTTGGGCTTGAGTTTGAAGTATTATGGATGGCATTGAATGAGTGCTCTTTTCCTTTTTCCTGCTTCTTTAAACATTGATCCTTCGCTTCCTTCATTCAATATAGATACTCTCCAAGGCATTTTATTCCTGTATTTCACTTTGCCTTCCTCCTTGCACTTCCTCTTCAGTCTTCAATTCCTTGCAGTTTTTTTTTTTTTTTTTTAAATTTCTAATTCTGAGGCATGGGTATATTTTAGCTTTAATGTTCAAACAAACAAAGGTTTATGACCACGGTGCCTCCGTTCTGTTACCAATTGTAAGGCTCCTTTTGTTTTACTTTTTCAGTCTCTGAGTACTGAAGCTGATATTTGGATGGTTTTTCTTTTAATTAAAACACTTCATCTTTCATGAGTACTTATTGAGTTATTGTAGGAGTGTAAAATAATGGGGCTACTTCAAACCTTATATTAATAAATTTACCGCCGACCTTTGAGAACCCAGCCAGATGTTCATGGATGGATCACCTTGGGAAGGAAAGAAATGATCCAGGTAAAAGGGGTTTCGTTTTATGTGATTTGTTTATGCTTATTTTATTTGTTTACTTTCTTTTGGGAAAGAAAAAAAATTCATCAGCTGCAGTAATATTTTCAACCATGCAAAACTCAAATCCAGATGTGGGTTTTAGGTCCATGTTCGAGAAAGTCGATAGATCCAAAGCTTGGCCTTTTAATTCCATTTTCTTCTTCCTTTTTTTCTTTAATCCTTCCAAAGGAGACATGTGGGCTCTCCTAGCAGCAAGGCAAAAAAATAAAAAAAACTCCCAAGGGACGCAAGTTTTTGTCTGCAACTCCTCTCAATTAAAAAACCATCACTTGGGTTTCAGTCTTTTTGGTGGCTAAATTCTGTTAAGATCCCCAGAATCATTTTTCTTCCTTGTCCCTTCTTAATTACCTAGTAAACAAATTTCAATGCCCTATACATCCATTAGCCTTTTTCTTCAGTTAACCTTTCTTTCCTGTTGTGAAAGAAAGATATTATGTGCATAACATAGGTCTTGTCTAGATGTTCTGTTTGGTTGATGGGATATGTTAGAAGTAAACTTCCATTTCTTGGTTTAATTTCATATGAAACCAAGCATATTGGATTCAAGTAACTGATATCTGTTTGAAATTCACTGCAAAACTTTCATTGTATGAGTATCATTTAAAAAACACGTCCTAGTGGGAATGAAGCCAATATTTATTGGGGGTAATTAATACAACCAGTGAGCTGTTAAGTCAGAATTCAACTACATTGCAGGTAAAAGAGGGACCTGATTCCTTGTATAAGGTAAGATTTTCAGATGGGGTATGTGCTTATTTTTGGGCCCTTTTGCTACTACTACCATAGATAGGCCTCGATGTTGCAAGCTCACTAGCAAGATATATGCTTTTGTGATAATTTGCTTGCTCTAGTGTCCAAACCTCACCAACAAGATATGCACTTGTTCATGATACTTTGCTTGATTCGGGAAATTAAAGCACAGTATCAGTTAAAGCTGCATAAGGACATTGCATGTTACTGTTGTAATTGTGGTCCGGTTGGGAATCTTGGTCAAAGGTTAATTGCATCAGATAGTGATTGATCATCTTCTTCCTACCTGTATTACTCAATATGGCACATTGTCTTTACTCTTGCTTTGGCTAGTTAAATAAAGAAGCCAGAGTTCAGATCAGTTTCTAGAGTTCAAAGTAAACTAAAAACAGCAAATTACCCATTTATTTTAGGGTTAGGGCTGCATATTTCTCATCTATAAATCCCTCATATATATATATATATATCCCAAAGTCTCCACCTTAATTTGATTTGACAGTCCTTGCAAATGTTGTCATTGCTCAAATCCTGTTGTCAGATAATCCGGTGTAGAAGCATAATGAATTATGAGAGAGTAATTTGTCATTTTAAAATATTATACAATCCTCTTAATTGTATGATCAAGGTTGGGTAAAAACTTAATCAATTAAATAACATTTGGCTGCATTTCTAGACCATGCAAATTAACTTATATTTAATGCAGACCCTACTCCAATGGCTGCATTTCTGGGCCTCCACCTATTAATCTTGTCTCCTATTTGACACCCAACAAATTAAATAATTAAGCGTCCATATGGATAAGCGATAAGATTCATTTAAGATAAATTAAAAATAATAATAAAAATTATTATAACTATAATTAAAAAAAAATTATTACAACTACGATTAAAAAAATGTTCATACAAAAATTTATATTGAATCAATTTTATTAAAGTTAAATATTTGGATTCAATTGATGGTGCGATTAACTTAATTGCATTGCACCATAAGTACAGTGGAATCCAAGCATCCACTAAGTAATGCAACAACTCTAAAACAAAATGATTCTTTGTCAAAGCTTCATCACACGATTTGTTATTAATTAAGTAGAAATATATGTTTAATTTGATATGAAATCTCTAAATTCATTGGGCATATATTAGAAACCATGCTATTTAATTGCTTTAATAAACGATGATATTCTTCTAAAGATATGCATGGCCTATAGTTAATCAGAAACCATGCATGTTGTAGTTAGTAATTTCTTTCTTCAAGTAGGGGACAGGTATGTGTTGATAAAAAGAAAACTAACCTTTTTTTTTTTTTTAAGTTCTTAATCTATTCTTAAATTTCACTTATCCTATTACATATTGAAAAGGATATTATGTGCCTAAATTATTTCAAACTCGCAACCTTCAAATAATATCAACTAATTCAAAAGATAGATGAAAAGAAAAACTAACTTTTTGTTGTAACAAAAGAGCAAAAGAATGAGGAAGATTAAAAGAATCTTTATTTTATGGCAATGCCATTGACCCTTGGAAGAAGATCTCTCTCTCTAAAAATTTTGTTGTTGAAAAATGAAAATATAATCCAACAATCATGTAATTTGTTGATAAACTGCTGAAGTTTTAGTTTAATAATCAAAATTTAATCATATTTCTTATTGGTAAAATACTGAATTACTCTTGGTTTTAATGATTAAAATTCAAAAATCTCAAATATTAAAAAAGAATAAAAATGAAGACGAAGTGAGTGCAAAATGCGACAGAAATTGGGTGGGATTGGATTCTACAGTGCTCCAAATAGAATGCATACAATACAAGACACAAAGGGGAAACCAAAGGTCCTGTTAAGATTCGTTTGGATTGTTACATTTTCGAAAGCAAAGAAGAAGAAAAAAACAAAGAATTTGAGAATCGGAAAGGGAGAAAAAGTTAAGAAAGAAGTTTTGGCTTTTGCACCGTATCGAGATAACTTTTTTTCTTTGGAGGCTTTGATATATAGTTTGAAGGACTATGACGGTTCATTGCCAGACCATCTTTCTCTATCTGGTATGGTCTCCAAACTGACCATTAAATTTGTTGTCCAAAAAAACTGTGGCATCAAAGCTTTTTTATGTCATTTACAACTCTAATGTGGGATGCCACAGCCCCACAGTTTGGAGTATATCAAGTGAGTGTTTTCAAAGCTTTGCAAAATCTATTAAGCAAATTTTCCTTTACTTTTTCTTTTCTTCTCGGAAATTAAATGCTCTTCTCTCTAGGGCTATAGAAAGGGGATAATGACCTTTAATATTATAACATGAAAGTGAAGGGATGATTTAATAGTTCTTGGCAGCGATATTATTAATATATTAATGTTTGCAAATTATTTGGATTTGATTCGAATAAAATTTAAATTCGATTTAATTATTATTGAGTCGAGTTCAAGTTTGAACAACTCGACTTATCAAATGAGCCATCTTCGAGCATTCAAATATCTGACTTGAAAAACTCACAAACCTAATTGAATTTTGAAATTTTTATATTTAATTAAAAATGTATTATTTTATCTTTATATATATATATATATATATCAATTCGAGTTTGAATACATAAATTAATCAAGTTTGAAATCAAGTATGATAATCGAACTCATTTTTATTAGATGAGCATAATTGAACGAATTCGAATAACTCAATTTTTATCTCAAGTCGAGCTTGAGCTTGTAAATTAAAACTTGATCAAGTTTAAGTTGAATTTTGAGCAACGAATTTGAGTCGAGCTCAAACTCAAACTTCTTATTATATTAACTCGATTCGATTCACTTACACCCCTAATTCTTAGTCCACTTTAATTCAAGATGAATCTGGCTTCGTAAGTCACATAGAAAACGAGATTATTGAATGAGCCATCTTTCATTTCGCTAGATCAAAATGATTCAGATCCAAAAAGAGAAAAATAAAAATAATATCACTATCTATAATTTAATAATGCAAATTTTTGGGCAATTTATGTCTTATCGGAATTATGTCCTCTCTATCAACCAAGCGAGGAAAACACACCGTTGCTCATTCATAGTTAGCTTACTTGGAGCGTTATGCTCGATGGTAAGAACGAGTTCGAATCACTTTTTTTTTTTTCAAAAAAAAAAATACAAGTAGGCTTACTTAAAGAGAATAGATGATGGCTGGACATTGCTTGTATATGTATGATCAACTACGGGTCATATAGAATGTATTTTGGTGACAATTAACTATTATTATCAGACCTTGACGATAAAGTAATTTCATTTTACAACCAATTTAATAGAAGACTAGAATTAACAATTAATTTGGTAAGAAGTATCAACAATCAAAGAAACCATACTTACGAAGCCTTTATACAATCATATACTATCAACGTATGGAACAAAAGCAGATGCCAATTAGCACAAACAAATTTTTTTCACAATCTGTTGAAAACTATATCCCATTTATTGGCGCTGTTGGATATTATGCTTTGAACAAATCAACAAACTCAAACCATGCTTTAATTTAAGTGTCACACACCAAAACCAATTTTAACATTTCCATCCAAGCTCAAGAACCTTATTATTGAGACCAACATTTCCCTTTCTCTGCCCTGAGGCACTGACCAGATTTCTCCTTGTATTTTCAAGGTGAAGATTGATGCAATCATTGCTTGGTATCTTAGCTTGATATGATCTTTCAATTTTCCTGTTAATAATAGCGGGGTCTGTCCCTGCTCTCAGACTCTTAGCCCAATCAAACTTCTTACCATTACAGCCTAACATGCCTTGCACAATATTGACATTATTTGATCTAGAACTCCGCGGTGGCAGAGGCAGACCACCCTTTTGTTGATCATGAGCTTCTTTCTTTGTCTCTTTTATCTCAATTTTGGTTCCACCCTCCATTTTTATACTTATATTCACCTCAGAAATTGTTTTGTCCATTTTATGATCACCAGATGCTGATATGTCCTGAGCATTCTTTTCCCTTCTGTGCTGATAAAGCCGGTGCAATCTAAATGCCAGATGGTATATTCCATCTTTAATCTCTTCCTCCAAATCTCTTTCTATGTCACTTTCAAGCTCACCTCGGATTTTCCACTCTTCTTCGGACATGGCTGCTCCTTGAAATTTCAGCCTCCGGATTTGACTCATATGGTTTTCACTAATATTCATCTGCACCACCACAATTCTATAACTTAGCAAAAAAATAATAATAATCTCCAAACGAACATTTATTTAAGTTTTAAAACAAGAAAAAAGATGCAAAATTGCATAGTCACCCTGGATTCATCGGCAGATGACCGAACAGATAAATCTGCAAGAACCCAAAAAGTGATACAATCAGAAAAGCTTAACGGAAGTTCTTATATAAGACAAAGATATAGCATGATGACTAGAAAAAAGAAACTGAAGAACCTAGTATATCTGCTTCTTTGGAGAATTTGGCCCGATGTTCCATCCTCTAGACTATGCTTTTACTTTGTCTTATTTGTGGTCTGGTAGCAGTGGCACACCAGCCATTTTAAATCCAATTAGAAGGATTAAGACTTGTGGAAATGGGACCAATGGTAGAGTTGGAACGAAATTGACTTTGCATGGGATGTTTTTAGGGACCAATGACCGTTAGAGAAGTCATTTGAGTTTGCTGATTGAAATTTAGAGACAAATATCTCTAAGTGAAAAGGATGCAGAATTATGTTTTTGCCATGTATAGAAAGGGTAAAATAAAGGACATCTTCCTAGATTAAGGAGGTGCTTTACGTGGAAGGGATAAAGGGGGGTTCAGGTTGCCCTTAAAGCATAATCAATATAGGGTACATTACCCACATGTTTGATGTGTGTTCTTGGATAGTTACCCTTCGCTAAGGCTCTCATAGGTTGGTTGGAGGGGTAGTGGCTTGTGTTTCTGGTTAGAAAACTTTTTGAATTCTTGCTTTTACCTTGCTGAGGGCTGACCTTAATGGGCCAAAGTAAGGCTAGGTGCCAGTCCACCAGAGCTAATTTGAAGTGAATGAGATGATTGAGAAGTTGGAAGACTAGTAAACCAGCTCACCAATGGCTCAAGCCCAGGCCTAGCCACAATACTAACCTGCCTCATTTTTTTTTTTCTATGGTTGTGTTTTGCCTCATTGTTTGGAGGAAATTTGAAAATATGAAATATTCGAGAACATCATCAACAAGAATGTGTAACTATAATATTTTAATAATTAATTTAAGTTTTTAATATTTTATTATAATTAATTAAATTCTTAATATTTATTTTGATTTAATTAAACTCTTAAATGAACGAAAATTAATCATGTGACAAATTTTAATGAATCAATTTTTAAACTATAATTAATTGAACTCTTAGAAAGATATTAAAAAAAATACAGAGAAAACAAAAAAAAGAATAAATTTTTATTTTATTTTATTTTATATATATACATATATTAATTACGTTATTTGACAAATTTTAATTTATTTTTTAATATCATATGAAATTTTATTTTAATTTATAAAAAATTAACAATATTAATTTTTTCATCCAAATAAATATTTAGTTAAATATAAATATATGTTAGAAGGGTTGATTAATTGTAATAAAAAAATTTTAATGATTTTTTAATTAGAATTTAAGGACTTTTATATCATTCAACCTAAATATTACTTTAGGATGTATCAAAATTTTAAATACACGAGTTAAAGAAAAAAGCGTCTTGTTTTTTAAGGTGTGAAAATTTAAAGATTTTAAGAGTTATATAATAATGAGAAGTAATATTGTTTTATTCTCTACAAAAACAATCGTAGGAGAAAATCCATAAATAAAATTTTATAAGACATATAAATCAAGCATAAAACAAAAGTAAAATAATTAAGTAAATAAATTAATATTTGAAAGTAAAATCAATTGCAGTGAGAAAGGTCAAAACTGAAACCCACCACATCAAACTAGCAGATGCAATGTGGTGACCTAACCCTCACCCCACGCGAGTAATGACCTAACTCGGTCACATTGACATTGTTGGGCAGGCTTTTGCAAAGGAAGCCTTTGTTCATTGTCCTACACAACATAAGAAGACCAACAAAAGTTAGAAAGATTGGTCAAAAACACAGTTGAAAAGATTTGGAGTGAGTGATTAAATGCTGAAAAATGCTAAACTTGATGGGAAGCGGTGGAATGTGTAATCAATCATGCGCGTTGCGTACACGACTGAGTTGGGGCAAAACAAATGCGAATCAGTAAAGTTTAAAACTTTAGTATTCGCCTGTGGTAGGTATCTAAAGTACTTAACAACCCCATCAACGAGTCAGCGGCTCCCTGCCGCTACAGTGGAGACGAATCAATTCAGGAAGATCTATGCTCTTGATAATTTGTATATTTATATTATATAAAATATTAAAATTTTTTATATTTATATTTTATTTTATATAAAAATTATATATTATAATTTGTATTGAAATAAAAATATAAAATATATATTTTTAATTTAATTAAATATATTTATAATTTTTATTAAAATTTTAAATTGTATTATTTTTATATTTTTTATTTATATATTTTTTTGATATATATCAAAACAACATATTTTTTAAATAAATAAAAAAATTACAAAGTTGTGTAGTTATAATATTAAATATATTAATATGTAATAAGAAAATATAATTACAATCAACCCAAAATTTACGAAGCAATCTTAAACCCTTGATATGGTCAAAGAATTGCCACCCCCGTTGAATTTTAAATAGCCTCCTCGGTTTTGCAAGCCAAAATTTGTAGTTTGTACGGCCATAACCGGCTGCCGTCTCCAGTTTGTCCGTTTTCTCCGTCTCCTTTTATTTTTCCACCCTTTTTCTCCCTCCCTCCCTCCAATTCTCTGCAGCAACCAAAAAACAGAAAAAAGGGCCAAAACTCAACTTTGCTCGTCGATTCATGGAAACTCTCTCCCATGCGATCACCGCTTCCGCTTCTCCAAAGCTCAGTCTCCGTCAAAATGACAACCTCTCTCGTCTAATCCGTTACAGCCATGGATTCAGTTCTTTGAATCTCCGTACAGTAAGATCACAGCGAAGGAGTAGAGTTTTCTCGAAAGTTGAATGTGATCAACAAAGCTCGAAAAACAACATCGATTTCAGTGAGCCTGATTGGAAGTCCAAGTTCCAGCAAGATTTCGAGAAACGCTTTAATATTCCTCACATCACCGATATTTTCCCCGATGCTCACTCTTTTCCTTCAACATTTTGCCTCAGGATGAGGTGAAAAATTAACTTTTCTCTCCCTCTTTTTTCCCCTGTTTTGACCTGATTTTTTTCTCGGAATTGTTATGTATATATATTTTTAACTCCAGGAGTGAGAAAATTGTAAACTGTTAAATTAACTTTTGCTTGAGTTTTTAGATATTTGATCGTGTTTAATATTTTCTAATTATTTATTTTTATTAGTAAAATAAATAATTATTTATTTTGATTTTTTTTTTTTGGTTACAGAACTCCGGTAACTGAGGATTTTACTGAAGGTTATCCATCGGATGAGGAATGGCATGGTTACATAAATAATAACGATCGAGTACTTCTAAAGGTAAACTTTTTTTTTTCTTTTTTATATTTAAATTTAAATTTCACTTTTTTGAATCAGTGTCCTCAATATCTGCCAAGTTGCTGAATTGTGATATGGAAAATTAAATTTTGCATATGCTTTTCGTTAAGAGCTTGGAGATCATTTTACTAAATTTACCGTTATATTCAATTTTCAAAATTAAATTTGCCAGCTATAGAGTAGGTAATTGAAATTAGAATCCAAAATTACCTGAAAATTCTGGTATAATTTTTAAATGATTTTAAGAAAGAAATCTGCTAATTTTTTTCCTTTAAAAGCAAATTTTGGCTTGATTATCACTGTTATATATTTATATCTTAAATCAAAACGTCAGTTAAATTCGTCAAGTTCTATGGAAAGAATTCTGCAATTATTTGGGTTAATCATCCACATGTAGATTAGATTGATCACAATTTCTGATCTTTAATATTTCAGGTCATACATTACTCGTCTACTACGTCTGCTGGTGCGGAATGCATTGATCCTAACTGTACTTGGGTTGAACAATGGTAAGTACAACTCTCAACTCATTTATATGGTTTTGCAAATTAACAAATCATGAATTCTATTGCATTAACTACAATACTTTCGTAACACGCTATGGTATTTTACCTAATATGTGGTAAAATAATGTTATAATATTTTAGTTATTTTTTCGTGACATTTGAATTGATTTGGGAGAATTGTTAATTTTAGATCCAATCTTATCACATGAGTCTGCATTTCTTGCCATTTTGTATATTTTCTTTTCGCTGTTTTTGTTTAATGTATGCAACATTGAAATTCATTTGGCAGTTAATGATAATATGTGACTTGACATCTCATCTTAGGGTTCATCGTGCTGGGCCTAGAGAGAAAATATATTTCAAACCAGAAGAAGTGAAGGCTGCAATTGTTACTTGTGGTGGGCTTTGCCCTGGTCTTAATGATGTTATTAGACAGGTCAGCACTGTATTTAAATTTCAATTTGCTGCTGGCATACTGTAATTATCAACTACAGCTAGGCTATGCTACTTGATTGAAAGCGGCATTCAGTGCTTTCACTGTTTTTATGTAAGCATTAACTGGATTTTTAATTTTCTGTCTCCTGCTAAAGTCTAAAGTTTGTTCTAGGTGCCTAGTGACTGAGATTCATGACACCAAATATGTCTCTGACTGTTGGCTTGGTAAATAATATCAGTCTAATTTTCATATACCATGTACTAAAGGTTTTCGTCTGCTAGAAAACTGAAAGACAGTAATTGTATTTTTATTAGGACAGAGCAATTTGGCCTACCTTATGTGAGTTTGCACAAAATTCCGTGAATTTATCATTTGAGGTTCCACTTGTAGCATACCATATAAAAAAAGGTATTTACAGTAAACTAGTTAAGGTTATAGTTAAAATTCTCACTTTCATGGTAGGGTAAACTGGTGAAGTAACTATGATTGGATCTTAGCTCCGTAAATACTGGTTTAAATTAAAGTGTCATATTTAGTCTGACTGAATGCTTTAGTCTATAGTGCTCCATAAATGCTTCGACAATAAACTTGTGCAGATTGTCATCACACTGCAAATATATGGTGTGAAAAACATTGTGGGGATTCCTTTTGGTTATCGTGGATTCTCTGACAAAGACTTGGCTGAAATGCCGGTAGGCTGCGTATCTTTCCTAGCAATGGTTTATGCTTCATCCAAGATTTTATGTTGTTAATTTGGCTTTCATTTTCAGCTATCACGGAAAGTAGTCCAAAATATTCACCTTTCAGGTGGAAGCTTGTTAGGAGTTTCACGTGGAGGACCCCCTGTCAGTGAAATTGTCAATAGTATGGAGGTGCTCAAAACTCTTTTACTATTATCAGATTAACTCACAGTTTTCCTTGAAGGGATTGTAGATATTGAATTAAAATATCAAGAAGCCTCGTATATAGTATATCTGATATGTTTCAAAAATTGATGTCAGGAAAGAGGAATCAACATGCTTTTTGTGCTAGGTGGAAACGGTACTCATGCTGGGGCCAATGCTATACATGATGAGGTTCATATCAGATCTGATAGCACTATTTCTTAGCCTTAAACTTGCTATTTCCTTCGCTATCACTATCTTAAATTCAAATTAGGGACTCATAGAAACTAAGTTTTTTTTCTCCCTGTTAGTACAAATTAGTGTTTATAATTTGTTCAGTCATTTGATTCAACTTTGTGGCATTAGAATGATTTTGGCTAACTGAAAGATTGAGATTTGCTTTCCGTGTTTTGTAATTCTAAGCTATATTTGCCATTTAAAATTCAAGTTAATTGAGATATTCTTATGTATGAATATTATATCAGATCAGGAGGGATATTAAAGGGTCTTCTTCTGTAACTAAGAATCTCTGAGAGATGTGAAAACTTTCGCTATTACATATAGGGTCTGGTTTTTGTGTTTTCCTAAATTTATATACTTTTGCACTTTTGCTTTCAGTGCCGCAAAAGAAAGTTGAAAGTGGCTGTAGTTGGTGTGCCAAAAACTATAGACAATGACATTCTGCTAATGGACAAAACCTTTGGTTTTGATACCGCTGTTGAAGAATCACAACGAGCAATCAACTCTGCATACATTGAGGTATATCAGCCTTGATTATTGGTGTTGATATAAAAAACTTGCTTCACTTCCAAATTCATGCATTATATAATTCTTTTCAAAAACTCCTTCCTGTTACTGATTCCTTAATGTTAAATTTATTTCTATTTCATTTTTCTCCTTCAATTAATTACCAGGCTCATAGTGCTTACCATGGAATTGGTGTTGTAAAATTGATGGGCCGTAGCAGTGGTTTCATAGCCATGCAATCATCCTTGGCTAGCGGACAAGTTGACATATGTTTGATTCCAGAGGTAGTTATGCTGACTGTTAGCAATTAATTCTGATCAGCTATGCTCATCACAATCTTTACATGCATGTCTTTAATACATCCAACTTCTGCATTCTCTAGGTACCTTTCAATTTGCATGGCCCTCATGGTGTATTAAGGCATCTAAAATACGTAATTGAGACAAAGGGATCGGCTGTTGTCTGTGTGGCAGAAGGAGCTGGGCAGGTGACTTAGAAAGATATTTATTTAGCTATTTGAACCCTTCTTGGAAGTGATATTTTAATGATAAAATTTATGGTTTTGGCACTGCATGGTAGGAGTGGTCAAATGACTTTGATTTTTGGATGTCTAACTCAATGGCCTTTCCATTGTTGAAGAATAACATCATTTTTGGTTTGTAATATGTCTCCATTGTGGTTTTAGGCTTTTACATGCAGTGCTGCTGTTGTCTATTCTATTACTTTCTTTCTTTAAATTCTATTTGAAAGTTTTGGATTGTTTTCAATTTCAGTAGCTTCCTTTGCTCTTATGAGAATTAAAGATGTGGAATGGACTTGCTTTAAAGCAGAGAAGATTGTTCATTCATTTGGCATAGTTGCAAAGATGTTCCTTTTAAAATAAATTCTCATCAATTGTATCGGGTTTGGTCAGTGTAAATCTTGTGAGCATGTGATCAAATTCATAAGTGCTGAGTTGAAAGGATAAAAATGCAAATATGTTGAATATTGTCTCCCCTTCCAGTTTAGGTATTTTTAAAATATTAGTTAAGGCACCAGAATATCTCTTTATAATTGTTTGATGAATTGTTTGACTGCTTTTTCCCTCTTTGAAGAGGAAGAGTCAATTCTAAGAGATTCAAATTTAATAATATGATATGCTGATAAAGTATGTGAGTTGATCATCTCTTAGCTGCTGCTTTTTGATGCAGAATCTAGTTCAGAAAACTAATGCTACCGATGCTTCTGGAAACATAGTATTTGGAGATTTTGGTGTGCACATCCAACAAGAGGTATTTGATTATGGTTTCAACCATTGCTTGCATTCTTTTATTTGTAAACTCCTGGCTGAAAAAAAAAAATCTACCAAGATTATTTTTGATATGTTGCACCTGGTCTGGTTATTTGAATTCTTCCATTAAGTAACTCGGTATTCAAAAAGAAAGAGTGATTGCATGTAGCTATCCCAAAGGGATTTCCTTTCCTTGTCAAGTTACCAACCATACATTATATAATTGAATTGAATGAGGATTGCTACATGAGGTTTTGTTGTAAATAATTCTTGAAGTAATCAACAAATTGTTTTTTGTGCCTTAATTCTTTCTTTTTGGGTTGAAATTTTCATTTTATTAATGATTATGCAATTTCATATGTAGATTGGGCCCCCAATTGTCATAGATTGCTTGTGGTTTGTTTGTGATTATATATGGATGACTGCTATGCATATCTTGCATATGGAATAATTCAAAGCGATTCACTAATAAAATGCATTACAAATTTTATCAGTTCAATTTTTGTGGTTGCATTTAATGATTTTTGATACATTAACATAGTGATTTTCTCTGCATTTAGATGTAAGAATCTTCTCTAAGGTGGTCATTTTACCCTCTAGCCCCTTATATTTTCTCATATGTGCCCCTCAAAAAAATTAATGCATTAGAAAACACAGGTGCCCTTTGCTTGTGTACACTTGATGAACTTAATCGTGTACTAAATGTTAATTCACTATCTTCATGCCAGATAAAAAAATATTTTAAGGAAATTGGCATCCCTGCTGATGTAAAGTATATTGATCCAACATACATGATCCGTGCATGCCGTGCAAATGCATCAGATGGAATTCTATGCACTGTTCTAGGACAAAATGCTGTAAGTATCCATTACTTTTTCTCCACCCCGCTCCGCACATGCACACACAGATTATGTTCTGTTTGAACTGCTTGCAGAACCTTTCTTTTTTTTTTTTTTTTTTTTTTTCATTTTTGATACCAGAAGAGAGCTATTAGGAACTGATAACATGGAGAGGACTGGTATTGTTTAGACACCGGCTGGTAAATGAGCCTAGTTACTAGAAACCTACAATCAATAAATTAAATTCTGTCAAGCCGTCAAAAATATTAGAAACCAAACAGTTTGGAAATATCAAACCCTTAAACCCTAAAATATTAATTTCGCCATTTTGTATGATTTTAAACAGTCACCTTCACAGCAAGTTTACTGCTGGCCAACCAATTGCAAGCTTGCACTAGTCTTCTAGCAAGTCACGTCTTTGGCACATATTGATATAGGGTTGTGCAAGTTTGCCCTTGTTGAAATTGGTTTTTGACTTTTTATATTGCTCGGGTCTGTATTATGCACATTTTATGTTTGGAACTGATCTCTGGAAATGTAAAATATGATGGATGTATTTGCAGGTTCATGGTGCATTTGCTGGATATAGCGGCATTACAGTTGGTATATGCAACACTCACTACGTTTACTTTCCGATTCCTGAGGTCATTTCTCATCCCCGGGAAGTAGACCCTAACAGCCGCATGTGGCACCGATGCTTGACTTCTACAGGCCAGCCCGACTTTGTCTAAATTATAAGGGGTAAGTTTAATCAAAAAGAGCGAAGAAATTTAAGTTTTGAAATTGTTCATTAAAGGACAGCGAGCTAGCTTTTAGAAATTTCTTTTTTAGGCTGCTCATTTTAGGCTGTAAAAGAAATAAAACCAACGATAACATTTTCACCAAATTAAAATGAAAAAGTCAAATATATAGCATACATGGGTTCTCAGGAAGAACATCATGAATAATAAAAACATAAGGGGAATCACTCTGTCATTTTGTCTTTAGGAATCATTTTTTGGCTGTTCATGAAAATGAGAATGCAGTCAAACAGGGAATTGTTTCTTGTGTAACAAACAAACGCGGTTGTAAGTTATTGATATTAATCAGAACATTAAGCTTTGGACAAACAATGTATTTCTAATCCTACTCTATTAATCACACTTTTCAACAGGGCATATTTTCTGCATTTTCATGAAAAAAAAGTAGGCTTGTTTGATATCTTATTATCTTCGTGTCATTTGCTAACTGGTGGGACAGTCAGATTTTTTCTGGCAAATAGTGAGGGGTTTGTTTGAGTTTAATTTGTTTCCGAACTATTTTAAAGATTTAAGTCAAAATTATTCTTGAAAAGATCAAACTCTAATTGACAAAGAAATATTCAAAAGTAAGTTCGTCATTTTATCAACTCAACTAATCACTTTAAAAACAATACTGTTCACAAGCTCCTAAATACTTTCGCCAGCATTTAAAAAAAAAAAATTTGCTTCAATGCACGACACCATCAATAGAACTCGGTAAACTAGGTTCTCTGGATAATACTATTATTACAAACTTAGAAGGGATTAAATTTTTCTGATTCTGACTGGTCAAACACATTCATTGGCTTCTGTTTCCATGGAAACAATTCTGCTGAATTTATCACATTATATAATAATAATAATAATATATCGGATAGCTCCCTTTTAGGTTGGAGTCAATTTTAATTTCTAAAGATAGAAATTCTCCTCTATAGTTGCAAAAAACAAGATGGTATCAAACTTTGTGTTCAAATGGGAGCTTTCAATAGTACTATCTATAAGTATAAAACAATAAATCATATTTAAAAAAAAAAAATTTGCAGTTATAACAAAGGGGTGCTGATAGTCTGAAGCAGAAATCTGAACAATCCCTTTTGCCCATCTCTCCATCCTTTTTTCCTTTTCTCTTCTGTGCTTCTGTCCATCTCCTCCCACCGCCATCTCCACCATGCAGACACTAATACTAAGCAAAAGCTCTTTTTTCTGTTGTTTTTCCTTCTTGGGTCTCGTGTTGCTCTTTGGTTCTCACATTTTTAACATTCATTTTCTCGGTAAATACAAACCTCAGACACAACCCCACACAACCTTACTCAAATGAAAAAGCAACAAAAAAAATATTAAGTAATACTAATAATAATACCAATGCATTAACATTCATAACTCACTACATGCATCATAGAAACTTTCCACTACCTATTTGATCTTAGACTAATAGGCACTAATACACTTGTTATTGAATTTAACTCGTAATCTTTTATTACCATTGCTTCATATAAAAAATGAAAATTTTACTGCATGCTCTTAGGAATATACTCTTACCAACCCAATCCAGTTTTGTAGTGAGATTGTATCACATACCATAGCTTTGGGTCCCCACAAGGACAAATGCAGAGAGAAAAGAAATGAAAAGAATGGAAACAGAAAACCACATATAGAAGAATGTGTTACTGTGTGCAAAAGCAAAAAAAAAAAAAAAAAAGAAGAATGCTGCAAATCTGGTGTTGAAAGGCTCGTAAACAGGAATGACCTGGCCATGTTATTATTTTTTGCTAGCTACAAAATACAAATATACAAATTCATTAGTTTTTCAACAGTCTCAAGACACTTGTCTGTCTTTTACTTCTTCTGTTGGTATTCCCCCTTTCTTTAAAATGTCCCTAGCCAAGAAATGGCTGTTGTTTACCATTGGGATCCCCCTTAATGGCATTGTCAGTTACAAATTGGGGTCATTTTGTTTAGTTTGAATATAAACATGATTGACCATGCTTGGCTGTTGTTAGTCAGTCAAAGTTCCTTTATTTTACCATTTTCTACTCTCTGTAGTCAGTTGTTTTCAAGGGTGGCTGCTTTTTGAGTTTCAGTTTAAGGTAAAAGGCTGCACTCATTGGATGGAAAATTCACTTTTTCCCAAAAAAAATTATCACAGATTCTTAATGGATACTTTTTGGGGTTCTTGATTGTGTCTTCTTATTTTTCTACTAACCCATTTTAATCCTGCCATCAGGCACATGGAGAGGATTGGTATTGTTTCTTGCTGACGGTGTGATATCGGAATATATATTATATTATATCTATGAAGACAAGCCTTAGTGATTCGATATTATCCTATAAACAATACATACATACATATATATATATATATAGGATGGTAGAGAGATGAAAAAAAATGCATTAAACTTAATAGTTGGATATGAAACTCATGAAAAAAAAAAAAACCATGATACTAATAAGTGCCTGTGCCCATAATCAATCAGTCTGCAGTTGCAGTCTCTGTTCATCTGTTCTGCACTGTGGATTCCCAAGGTTTCTTATGCTCACACTCATACTCAGACACAGACTCTGACTCTGACTCGTACCTTTTTTCTTTTGTATCAGATTCCAGACACCAAACTCAAAACTCAACACTCACAAAAACTCCAAACTAAAGATCAGGTGTTGACCGGTCTCACACTCTAAAACAAATGTTTTTGTGAGCCTCTCTCTCTTTGGGCCCACCATTCATGGGTCCACCTGAGGCCCGTTTCTGATCCCAATAACCACCAGGAAACGACAGCGTCTCATGTTTCATGTCAGCACAATTCCAACAACTTTTTAGGACTTCAATTAGATTGGTCATAACTTTAATTGCACTCTAGTTGTTGCCAGAAAGATTATTTGATAATTTGCTTATAATTTGCCATTTTGATAAAAAAGGATAACTTGTTTTTTTTTTTTCTTCTCATTTATAGTTGGAAGCTACAACAAATTAATAATAGTAATTTAAAAAAAAAACCCTGTATTGTTTCCTTCTAAAAGACTAAAACAGCACCACCTTCCACTTCTTCTGCCAGTGATATGTATAGCTGTAGTTGAGGGTTCTTGATTTATATGAACAGCTGGTGACAACTTTTTTTCCTTGTGTTCATGCTTTTAGCATTGAAGAACTCGAAATCATTTTTCACCTTAAAAATTTATTTCTTTGTATTTCCCATTTCTCACTCTCTCTTTGTGCTCCAAAACCACACCAAAGTTCCCATTCAACCAAATTGATATTGGACTAAAAAGGGTGTGAAAGGGAAGGACAATTCAGATCTCATGACTTGAAAACCAGTTGGGAAGGTTTGTTGTTGTCTTGTTTCCTCCTTTTAATGTCTGGTCTAGAATGCGAAGAATTTGCACATGACCCAACTGTTATTTCATCACTTTTATAGCTCAAGCATGCAGCAGCATCCAACACCCCAATGGGGCTTTGAGGCACATAGGAAGCTGATGGGTGAGTTGCCACATTAGCATTAGCAGTAGCAGCAGACCCATTAATCAATGACAAATCTTTCATCAGTTCAACACACTTCAACACTTTACCCTGCAAAAATCCCACAAAGTTTCACTGACTCAGCAAAATAGTCAAAAAGATCAAAGCCAAGATCTTCTAAGAACTAACAGCAAAAACAAATTTGTCCTCTCTTGAGTTTTACTTCTGTGGGCACCACCATTTTGTTTTTTGTTTTTTTTTTTTTACCTTTTCTACAAAGATGAAAGATGAAATTGCCTTCTCAATGGCTAATGTTTGCATTTCTCCTAAAACAGAAATTGCCACTGCTGCAGCAATTTCAGAAGGTCTGAACTCCAAGAAGTCAATACCTGCATTCACCATTCCCACCAAACACTGCATCATTTCAAACCCCATTAATCCTCAATAACGAAAATGTAACAAAAAGAATAACAACATAACAAATGAACAGTGAGATAGAAACCTCTGATTGTGCTCAATATCAGTTGTAATGCTCTAGACATTGAAGTTGATGATAGATATTGATCATTACAAATTTTACCCAGGAAGTAGTCAATGAAGGAGCAAGGAGTAAGAACTTGCATTTTCCACTTCAATGTGCTTAAAACCAAGAGCTCCATTCTCTGTATCGTTTTAGCTTGAAAGACAAACTTTGGTTCTCCCACCTGCCAAACAACAAATCCACACAATCAGGAAATTCATACTGGGAAAAGACCAAGTGATCAAAATCTATTGCCAAACACATCAAATCAATCTAAAATGTTCTAATCACCTGCAAATCTACAGACAGCGGCACCTTTGTCTCCTCCATTTTGGAGGCAATTGATAAACAAGCTACAGCCAGCAGTTGCACAGTCCATGTTTTACCTCTCTGTGTCATGTTACCCCAAAAGATAGAGAAATAAAATAAAATCAAAGATACCAAAAAACAAACAATCAGTGGCTATGATAATGATGTAAGAAAAGAAAGAACCAAACTTGATGCTAATTTGTGAACTCACGGGTAAGTCATAAACTGATAGGAACCGATCCAAGTAATTAATTGATAGGCAAAGACTCAATGGTCCAAAACGGTAAAAAGCAAAGGCCTGTTGATCAAAAGTGAAATCATAAATCAACCGTGAGACCATCATTCATAGCACATTATCACCGAGGAATAAGCAAAACACTGAGTCCAATTTAGTATTATAAGAAATACAGAATGAAAGGGGAAAACATAGAAAGAGAACACAATTCCAATTTCATGTTGCCATAAATGAAAAAGAAAAGAAAGAAGTCAATTAAGAAGTAAACTTTAAAACAAAAATCTATAAAAGCTCAGAAATTGATTGATCCAAACAAAGTATAAAAATCTCATTACAAAAATAAAATGAAATTAAATAACAAAAAAAAAGAAAAGCAAAATTTGAAGAGTTTTGCTGAGAAAAGGCTATAATGTTGTTGAAAAACAAAAACCTGTTACAGAAACCGGTTAAACATTAAAGTAATCCTGAGAAAGAAACAATGATCAAATGGATCAAACAAGAAAAACCCAAGAATTTATTTGACTAAAACTGATTAAATTGAAAACAGACCTTCCAAATCCAATCAAGAGCCTCTCTCCTAACACTCAAATCCAAATCCCCACTTCTCAGTCTCTTAAGATAATCATCTCCAGGCAAATGCTCCATCTCTTTTTCAACCATTTCTTTGATTCTATCATCAGTTTGTATTGCAAAACCAGAAATACCCATCAAAGAAGTTGATCTGTTGTGTATAATAAAAGGGTCTTGTTGATTAAAGATTTGGTTTTTAAGGTGGTGGTCACAAGCAGGGGAAGCCCCAAACTCATTTATGGCATTAAAATCAAGATCATCATCAAAGCAAGACCTTGTGTTCTCTGAACAGAGAAGATTTGAGGCTGAACAGTCAAGATTTTCTGGCATTTTCAAGAGAGGGGCCTAAAAAGTGAGTTATTATAGAACCCCAAAAGAAACTACTCAATTCATAAGGTGAAAGCTTTGCGTACAATAAAGCCAAAAAGAGAGTGAGAGAGAATGGGGCTGAGGAGAGACTGTTCTAATAAGAGAAGCTTTATGCCGGGAAGACACCTCTAGTTAGGGTAAAAAGGAGAAATAAGGGAAAGAGGAGAAGGCTGCCATTACAAAAAAAGAAAGATATTCAAGGAAAATCTAATAATTAATGCAAAAAATGGAAAAAAATGCAACATACTTGCCATGACAAACTTTTTTACTATTATTTTTCATGAGAAATGATGTTTCATATAACCCTAACCTTGTATTTTGGTTTTTTCTAATAAGCTCGTCTATTCATTCGAAGGATGACATTTTTCATTATAATCATATTTATTGAAATCATATTAAAATTTTTATAAACTAACCAAAATAGTTATAATTTTAATAATTTATTAATTTAAAATCTAATCACCGAGTTCATAAATAATTAGTAAAATCGTAAATGAACTACATTATAAAATCAATAAAACTCAATAGAATAATAAATTTATTTTAAATTATTCACATATTATATGAAAATGCACTGATCTTAATTTATCATGATCTTAACTTATCATATGTACAAAAAAAATTGATACATGATTCAATATTATAATAAGTAGTGTTTTTTTTATTATTTTATACGTAAAAAGATTTTTTTTATATGATAGTTAGGTAGATGCAAAATTGGAAGGAAAATTAAGCATCCAATTTATAATGTGATGAGTATTTTTGGTTAGTATTATTAGGGTTATGATGGTTTGGTGAATGCTTATTATTGGTTATGATTTAGCTATGATTTATCTATGTAAAAAAATAGAGAGATTATAATTACATGTTTAATTTGGGCAAGTAACTTACAAAATTTGTGAGATTTAGTGGGTCCATATTTTTCCCATTTTGCCCTTCCATTTATCAATATTTTCAATTTGGCCATTAACATTACTTTCTTCTCAAATTTTTTTTTTAATTTCAGTTTTTAAATGGAAATTGTTAATAAATAGTCTGGCTCATGCGTTGTCACTGTACATTGAAATGAAGCTAACTGTTTTCCCCATAATTCATTGTAATTTAGAATTCAAAATTTTATTTAATTAATTTATTGATTATCTTTTAAAACTATAAGTATAAAAAATTATAAGTATAATCAAGTACTTATATTATTGAATAATTAAATAAATTAGCTAATCAACAAACTAGATTATTTTTTGAATTAATTAATGTAATTAATTTTGTAATTACGAATACAAGAAAATCTATAACTATAATTAAGTATTATGTAACTATAATTAAGTATTATGTTATTGAAGAATCAAATAAATAAATAATTAATAAATTAAATTATTTTTTGAAATTACAAATATAAAAAAAATTATAATCATAATTAAATATTATATCACTCAATAATTAAACAAATTAACTAATCAACAAACTATAGTTTAACTAAACAAATTCAATATAAAATTCGACCGAACTCATACAGTAAAGATTAAATCTAAAATTTCAGATTCTAAAATTTTTTTTTGCCACTAAACCTAAGATTAACATTCCCTTGATCATTTTTTAAAAATGACATTAAATAAATTTAAAGTTTAACTTTCAACGCTTATTATTATTTTTAAATTACAATTTTTTATAAAAAATAGTATATTTATAATTTTAGTAAAAAATAAAAACCCCCCGAGTAACTTCAACAAAAAAGAAAAAAGAGAAAAAATAATAATAATATATGAGGAGGGCCTGATATCATGGAGAGGTCTGCCTTCAGAATGTTCTGCTAATCTGCTTGGAAAGGGAAGCCATCTTATCAATCTGAGTTTGCCTCCAACATTTGCCAATGTTATGGCAGAAATAATTCTTGCTTTGCCTCTTTTGAAGCTTTTAGTAATATTATATAAACAAATACATCACAATTTCTTAGAGCAAAAAAATTGTACTCAAAAGGAAAACCCTTTTCTTTTTTTTTTTTACAATAATCCAATGGCTTCACATATTTTTAATTTTTTTCTTTTTTTTCCCCCTTTTATTGATCAATCCATTGATGTGTCCACCTAAAATGCCAAGTCAGTGAAAATAATACCATAAAAGAATTTCAATGGAATGCTAGAATTTGTTTTTGACTAAATTGGCCATGGTACTTTTGATAATTCACATATTAGATCATAAAATTAACTAATATAAGCAAAATTTTTTGAGCCAAATTTAAAGATTGTGAGACTTAAATAATAGTGTGCAAGCAAATGAATATAAATTTTAATAATACGTTTTTAATATGTTTTTATGTGTAAAAAATATATATATTATTCGAATTGTTCGAATCAAAAATATTTTCAAAATTTTATCATTTCCGTAACATATAACTTATATATGAGTAGTACATATAGGTTTTTTTTGTCAAAAAAAAATCACAGCTTAAAAATAAAAAAACAGTTTATGAATTGAGATTTAAAATTTAAATTTATTAAATATTAATTTTTAAAAATAATTTCATAAATCAATTAAATACGATCCTAGATTCAAAATATATAACATAACAATTGTAATTTTATTATTTTAATTATTATTCATTAAGAGTTGGTAAAAACTAGTGATAGAATTGTAAAATCAATCAAATTAGAAATTATTTTAGACTTTCTTAAGGATATACTAAACAAAATGTAACAATAATGATAGAAATAATCATAATTTTAAAAAGCTATTTATTTATTTATTTATAAGCGTAAAAGACATTTATTCAATGTTGGGTAATTTTGAGAAAATAAATTAAAAAATGGCAAAATTAAAACATGTGAAATAAGAATGATCATATGGGCAGTGGACCATGGCAAACGTCATTTTCAATTCAAAGGAGAACACATGCTGCCCTGGCAACCCTAGCAGATGCCATTGCCAACCAAATTTAACCATTTCTTCCAATAATTCCCATTCTCGTATACTTGTTATGCTTTTCAATTTGAAACCCCTTTAAAAGAAAGAGAAAGAGAGGATTAAAAAAAAAACTAAAAAGAAGAAATGGGGAATCAAAAGCTGCCCATGCATGCATTGATTTTCATAACACTTGCATTATTTAATTTTACGTTATTGATTTGTAATTTCATTAAAAAAAAATACATGTTTTTGTTTAATAGAAGTGGAGAAGCATCTTATGATTTTCTCTTTGACTTGAATGGTTGAAAGTTGAGCTAAAATTAATCACAAAATGAGAGTAGCTAGACATGAAAAATCTAGTGTCCAATTATAAAAAAGTAAACTAGCTACTAGCTAGAAGTTCCAACGACAACGTCCTATAAAATCTATGATTATTCCCCGGATTCACCAAATTACAGGCGGACCATTTACTAGTATAACATTATTGGCATGGTTTGAGTACTACCATGGTTTAATCGAATAAAGTTAAGGTGATATAACGAGAAATTTGATTTTAAATTTAATTTAAAACTTGTTATTTAAAATTTAATTCAAATTTAATTGAGTTTTAAATTTTAAAATCGAACTAGATTTAAAATAAAAATTAAATTATTAAAATTCGTCTAATTAAATTTGTTTATCAAATAACAAAAAATTTAATTTTTATATTCGATTTTAAACTCGATTATTTATATTTAAATTTGAGATCAAATTTAAATTCATATATATATATATAAATAAAATAATAAAAATATATATTAAAATATAAAAATTTGATTAAACTCACAAATTATTTGAGTTAAACATTAAAAAATTTGAATTTAGTTCAATTCGATAATAATTTAATTAAATTTACATTTTATTTGAAATAAATTAAAATAATTTACGAGAATTATTTATTATTTAAATTTTAACCATGACTTACTATTAACAATGGAGTCCTATGGTATCAATAGGGACAAAAAATTTTGGATACGCAAACTTGCTTCTTGGCCAATAGGCATTGACGAATATTTGGTTTGATTGATATTTTTATTATTTATCTTTTATATCGTAATCTAATTTTATAGAAAAAATTTTTTTTTCCTTATTATAGGATCCATTTTGAAGAAAAGATAAGTAACGAGAATTTAAAATTATGGTTTTAAACAAGAACCGATGGTAGTTGTTTGCAATGAATTTTTAACCTAGGATGCTGATCAATCATGTATTCAAGAAACAACTTTGCAATTAAAATGTAGAGACACATGCGTGTTCCCTTTAACCCTTTTGAAGACTTTAGCAACACAAATTTCTAACCCTTTTTCTTCCTCTGTTGAAAGATGCTCCCCACTCTCCTATTTGGGTTTCTCCCAAAAATTCTTGTGGACCAAACACGAAGCAGCTTTACTACAGAACAAATCACGTGTACATTACAAAATTCAAGTTGACAACTTTAAATAATTTTTTTTTAACACGAAATATCACATTTTAAAAATTAAAAAAGCAATTGCAGCAAAGGCGAACACAGATAAACAAGGGCCATGGCTTCCTAAAAAATTTTTACCTCCCTTTAGCTATAATGTTCGAGCCCATCAAAATATTACTTTAGCTTTCATTCCCCGAAATTATTATTACTTCAGCTTTCCTTCCCCCGAATTTATTATTTGACTCTCCTTCGTTTTTTTAGGTTGCAAATATTGGGATTAAAATTTTAAATTTATTAACTATCAACTTTTAAAGATGATCATATAAATCATATGAACTAAACTCGAAAGTTAACCTTAAATAGCTTTTCTTAAGCTGACAAGATCAACCTTATAATACAAATAATTAACAAAACCTCTTCAAGTTTGTGGTCCAAACCAAACTCCAAACACAGTCTTTGATAAGTCTTTTCTTGATTTGGGGGGTTGTATTTGAGATTCGAGTTCTCGAGAGTACTTCCTCTAAAGCCATCCTTGCATATATATATTCCCATCAAAAGCATCTAGAGGATCAGCCATGGCTTCCCCTTGCAAATCCATGATAAGTGCTGAACCACCAAATATAAAATAAAACTGCTTCTCTGGGATCTACATTTGGTTTCCACATGTCTCCCTTCAGCCATGCCATTAGTGATTTACGCATTTGCATATTTTCATTGCCATCATTCATTTGCTTTGGAAACTAGCCAATATATCTCATCCCAGCAACAGCTACTTAGAATTAGCATCCAGCAGTCTTTAGTTTCAAAGATGTGAAATATGATGAGAATATCCACCTTCATGTAATTCAACTTTGCTTGCATTAGTACAGTTCTCCATATCAGTACCAAAAC